CATCCAGAGTCGCATGATGTTATTGTCTCTACTCAATTCGCTAGAGTTCAGAGATTTTCCTCCTCCTCAGCCAATTGAGTTCCAAAGCCAGGTCCAACACGGATGGTGGGGGAGGGAGCGAATCCAGCTCTTAGTTGACATTCCATGCTGGGGAGGTTAAGATAGGCACTGCCCTCAAGGCCGTGCCGCTGGGAGCCAGATAAGATAATCCAATTGTTTTGGAACAAAGCAACCTTGAAATTCTTGTTGCTTTTGAAGTGTCTTTACTGCAAACTCTGAGGTGGCGAAAAAAGCCAATCAGCCGAATTTGGGGTCATTCCTCGCCCCTCATCGATTGAAGCTCACCCAGATGTAGTCCATACATGCCGAAGGGTTGCTCCTGAGCTGTGATACTCGTCATAATCACATCCAGTTTGCAAAWTTTTCCCCCAGCTGAGAGTCTGTGTGCTTCCAGCCGGCAGAATCCTTCAGGTGCGCGCGACAGCTCTTCAAAGGCCCAATCCACTGTCAGGGTCGCTTTCAGTTTTCGATTAATCTGGAACCCTCCTCCGCCGATCAGCAGGAATCCAGTTATCATAATCCAAATAAATAATGATCTTCCATGTCTTCGATGGAAAGTGGTGCTGGCATATCAGACTCCAGCCTCAGGAATCAGACGAATCCAACAGCAACCATTCCACCCAGACAGCCATGTTCCCTTCGTTCCAAGTGTAGAATAAAAATAGTATCAATTTCATTCAGAGTCCAGTTGACCAAATCCCTAATTCCTTTAGTTTCTGATGTAAGGTGAAAAAAGAGCTCGAAAAAGCTAAGGAATGCATAGGAACTCTATAAACTAGTGTTTGTTTAGTTGTTTTTATAGACAGGTGTGCATATGTCTACCTTAGAAGCTGAAATCTCCAATAATGTTCCTTCATGTCAGGATCAAACTTTCTGATGTTAATTTTGATGAGTTCTTGCTGCAGCAGCAGAAGTTTGGTGTTCTTACAGAGCTGTTGTGTGTGTCATCCTGCAGGTGTAGGAACCAGGAACTACTACAGGAAGATGGGCTACGAGTTGGAGGGGCCGTATATGGTGAAGGACCTCTATGGTCCAGGAATGGACTGAACTTTTATCTGGACAGAGCATACAGAGTCCCAAACATGCACAAGTGATTTTATTTATCAGAAGCATTTTTTCTTGGACACGATTCCTGCAGAGAAACTGTTCCGGCATCAGGAGAGATAAAAACGGTGGGGTTCTGTGTGCTGCTCATTCATCTGCTTTTTATCTGCAACACAAAGCTGCTGCATTTCCTCTGCTTTATTTAGATAAGGAGACGTGCGTGAGGAAAGCTGTTTGGGAGGGAGCCAGCCTCATCTGGTGGATGAGCTTTAGGCTTTAATATTAGAGGGGCAGATATTTAACCAGAAGTGTTTGGTTTAAGAGCCACAGGTGTGGGCGCTGACGTCTGAACATCTGCTGATGCCACCAGGTGAACTCCGTTTGAACCTCTGGATTCACAGATGGAKGCACGTTTTGAAAGTGGAGATCTGCGACAAAGTTGTGGATAATAATTATCTTACCTGTAGCTCTTTGAACGGATTCTGTTCAGAGAAGCTTTTAAAGTCTAAGACTGATGAGCTAATGGCTAGTCTGAGCGAGGCCAAGATTATTGCTGCTCTTTCTGCAAGTATTACACAGGTTGAAATCTTTTTTAGAAACATTTACACATCATCAGTTTTTGCATTAAACTCTTAATATTTCCAGTCTCCATGGAATTAGTAATCATGTTATTTCCTGTGTTTAGTTGTGAGACTAAAGATCTCATCAACCACTAGATGGATTTAATGAAACTGACAGTAATCAATAGATACACATCTACAACTAGTGCTTGAACCATAGCGACACAAAAATGTCTAACTTATTTTCATAGATGTTGATATACAGTATATCGTTTAAACATACCTTCAGACAAGTCTTATATTTACATGAAATTCTCATTGCACAAAGCAGCGGCAGCATGTAGCTGTAGCACTTTTGGTGCTGTCTCAGGTACTTCTGGTAGAAATGTTATTTTTCAGCCAGATAGCTCCTCTAATTTAAAACTGATGGCAACTTAAATGTTTAAATCTCAGTGTTCATGAGAACTGATGTGAAGTTTTGAAGACAGGGTCCACTCTGACTAGCCTTTAACTTGTCAATACAGACCCTGTTGTCTTAAAACAACTCCAGTAGTCATAGTTTCAGGGTGATTGAAACAAACGCTTTATTTTAAACCTTTACATTGCTATTAATTACCCAATACACAGTTCTTTATTCTTTATAAAGCTGGTTAAAGTGACTCCATTAATGTCTGTTGTCTAAAATTGAAACTAAAATATTTTTAATGCTGCTATGTTGTTTTTGGAGCCAGAGTCTGTGTTCTCAGGACAGAGGGCTGATTTCTCGATACATCCTGCCGACTCTTTAACAGGCTGTGACTGTCAATCATAATGTAACACGACACTTTGATTTAAGCTTCAAATAAGTCATTGGAACTAAATGTAAAATGCATATTTGAACTTACAGTAGGAAGTTAAGAGCTACATGAATCCACAAAATCAACACCTGAAAAATTATCTGAGGTGTAGGTTTTTTTTTTGTTTTTTTTTTTGGTCAAAAAAAGTTTTATTGTTTCACATGGAGGGGCAGGACTTACAGACTGAACCACAGCCGACCACTAGAGGGCGCTTGCATCTTGTGGCTTCAGTTTCCAGTTTCCTGTCCAGCTCAGTTATAATCTGTCTGGATGATTCCAGCAGAAATATATTATTCCTGCAGGAAGCTCCCCAGGCTGAARTGAAAGTGCTACAGCTAGCTGCTGCTGCTTAAACTGACTGTAAAGTTTATGAAACAAAGCTCTCACAATGATTTTTGTCTTTTTAGATGTTTAATCCGATTTGGTCTTAGCTGCGTTCAGACTAGCCTTGGGGTCATCAGTTCACTTCACTCTTGSTTTGGTAACCCTTTATAGCTACACATTATTTAACCATTTTTTTCTTTTATTTCATTCTTAAAAACAATAAAAAGCCCATTAAAAAACAAATGAATGAATTACTGAATGAACTGGTGCAGAAAGAAGAAAAAAATCTTAGAATATCTGCCCCTTGTTAATCATTACTTAAATCATTACCTAATCATTGATAAATGGATAATACTTAAGGATAATTCATACATAATAAGCTATAAATTAACACTTTTTGTTTTACCTATAAAGGCTAATTACTTCCCAAACTAGCATACTCATTGTTTATTCATCTGGAATAACTCATGAAYTATATACTGTGTGTATATGTATGTAAATACTCATATAAATGTACTTTCACAGCAGTTGCCCAGGTTGTAATCTCCTGTTGTTCCAGAAACACTGTATTACCATTTACAGTCACTCCATCTGTTCACCCAATGAGTTTATAACAGGCAGATGGTTTTCATTCTTTATAACAGGCAGATGGTTTTCATTCATGGTACTGACTTTATCTTTGAATTATATTAACAATTAATTAAGAGATGTTTAGATTAGATTCAAGCCAACATGTAGATTTGCTCACTTTAGAAGGTCACAAATACCCAYATTTTATTAATTTATGAAATCTCCTATGAGCATTTCCTGACCAATCAACCATCAAACTTCCTCCAAGTGCATGGTCTTAAAACACAATCAATGAAATAAAATACAAATAATTTTAAGTGGAGTCCTTTTTATTTATGTATTTATTTTATGATAAAGCAAGCAGTCAGTGTGGTGGCCCATGTTTGTTTGTTTTAGAGAACTACATTATTAGAAGTCTTAACAAATGGTGTGATTTATATGACCATTATACATACACATATACATAATGTATATACATATACACATTGTATACATATACACATTCATGAGTTATTAAGCATGAATAAACAATGAGTTTGTTGGTTTTGAAAGAATTAGCCTCAATAAATGTGTAAATCTATAGCTTTTTAAGTATGAATCATCCTTAATTAATGATGTCTATAAAGTTTACTAATGTGAAGTAAGGCTAAATAAGGTGAAGTTCTTATAATGTGTTATACTTGGTTCTGCATTCTGATGTCATTGAAAGAGTTATGATCAAGATTATATAACTTTTCCACTGGACTCCACTTCAAAATGTGTAGAATATTTAAGTGCTCTGTGTTCTCTGACATCTTGGTTTCCCTTGAGTCGTTGGTTTGTGGTAAATTTCCTGTTCGACATCGTTGTTTGAGTTAATCCTCTTTATGTTTATGTTGCAATCAAAGGAAACCCCATTTTTGAACGAGGGTTGTCCTCACTGGGCAGCTGTTGTGTAACTGCTCTATTTTTAATTGTATGACAGGAAATTATTATTAGTGTTGCATAAAGAGTCCTTCAGATAATCCTGTTTGTCTGTCAAGCATTCCAGGGTTTTATTTATTCTGGGAAAATCCAAACAAGCTCAGAGCTTTCTTTCTTTTTTTTAAACTAAAGTCCATTTGAGTTTTGAGCCCTGTGTTGTGTGTCTTTATTGTGACAAGACGTTTCAGTTATTTGAACTTTAAAAGACAGAATCACCTGAAAGGTCTCGGCTGTGAAAGAAAGGTCACATCGTGAGAGTGCTTTCTGTAATTTATTCCTTCAAGTCAGAAAAGGTGGCAGGCCCTTCCAGCAGACCCCTCCTGATTGCCCTCGGAGACTGTTTACCTGCCTCATTGGATCCAGTCTTTCCAATTACGTCTCCATCACCGAGCTGTCTGCGGAGCACTGACAGAGTGCCGTGTTCAGCAGCCGCACCCTTACTGGRAAGGATTTGTCATTTGAAAAATGGCCAGCAGTAAAACGCAAAAAAGGCTCAATTCATCGAGCCGAGCCTCGTATAGATTCGTGCTCCCCGGCGTGACTGGAGCTGAACGGACGCGCCCAATTTCCTGGACTGAGCCGGGGACTGTGCTGTGGCGTTGCAGTCCTGACGCAGTAAGGAATAGGGCTGCATTAGGGCCTGCTCACTCCTGCTATCAGCTGTGAAACCTGAATGGACTCCCCCTCCCCCTCCTCCTCTTCTTTCCTCCCGGTTCGGGCTTGCTGAGTCTGTGCTGAGCTGATTTGTTGGCTCTAATCGTCACTAACTCCAGCAGAAGAGAGGGCAGTTTTCTTAAGACTCTGCAGAGCTGAAGGTTACACAATTTATCTGCAGAGATTACAGCTGCAGGAGGAGAACAAGGATGGAGCCGGGATGATTGTGTGGAATTAGAGCTCAGTGTAACCCCGGAGTTACATTTAACACAAATAAAATTACATAAAAATGTAATGACTCAGAATACAGGTGTGGATAAGTTTACTCTTTTGTGGGAAAAAAAAAACTCAAAGGTGACAAAAATAACTGCAGTCTCAAAAAATAGTCAAATGATGTAAAATGAATGTCCTGATGCATCTCAGTAATCCAGGTAGAAAAAATCARAAAGTAAAAAASAAGTAGGTCCCTCTGGRTGGTTCTTCTTTAGTGAAACGTTTCATCTCTCCTCCAAGAGACTTCTTCAGTCTGATGAGTTTCAGGTGAACTCAGCCTTATAAGCACTGCCTCCACATGGACAAACAGGTTAGTCTTAAGAGAACAACATGTCAATATGCGAGTCTTGTTTGTTGAAGAATGTTCATGTGTTGACTGGATACTTTTAGTGCTTAAGAATTAGGTTTTGCTAAAACTTTCAGTGCATTAGTGCTTTAGAATTAGGGGGCCTCATGCAAGAACATGTTCGTATTCTTMTCCTAAATTTCTCTTACTTTTGTTCGTACAAAGGGTTCGTACAACATGTCACGTCAGATTCAACAAACTCTTCTATCGTCAGGAAACGTGTGTAAATGAATTCCACCTGTTCGTATCCAGCTGCTCGTGCACGCGAGAGGAGATTAGCATACAGTGGGGAAAATAAGTATTTAGTCAGTCACCAATTGTGCAAGTTCTTCCACTTAAAAAGATGAGAGAGGCC